AAACCCTGAACCCTGAACCCTAAAGTCCTAAACCCTGAACCCTGAACCCTAAAGCCCTAAACCCTAAACCCTGAACCCTAAAGCCCTAAAGCCCTAAACCCTAAACCCTAAACCGCTGATCAGAAGCCGTCTCTAGGGTTTGCAGCTTCGGGGGATTGGGAGTTGGCCGCTATTTGGGCACATGAGTGCGCCATCTTTCGCATGAAAGGGTCTGTGAATCTCGAAGCTCTAACGGTTTGGGTTTAGGGTTTAGGGGACTCTAAACCGACCTTCTCAATCGCTGCACGGCGTCCGAGCGTTGCGAAACGTAGTGGAAATGAAGTCGGAGTGCACACGCAGTCAAAGAATCAAAGATAGTTGTCAGATGATATGCAAGAGCGTATAATTAGATAATGGGTACCATATATATATATATATATATACACACCTATCTATCTATCTATCTACCTACCTATCTATCTATCTATCTATCTATCTACCTATCTATCTATCTATCTATCTATCTATCTATGTATAGATATAAATATACATAAACAAGCAGATAGATACATAAAGCAATAAATAGTTAACTCTATATAGATAGCTAGCTAGCTAGCTAGATAGATGGATAGCTAGCTAGCTAGATAGATAGCTAGCTAGATAGATAGCTAGCTAGATAGATAGATTGATAGATAGTCGAGGCTTGCACCAGTGCAATTGTGGCAGCATATGTTCGGTGATGATCCAGCGGTGAGCTCGTCTTCGCGCAAGAGCCGAAGCACTTTCGGTGCTCTGCCGGGATCGTCAAGGTTCTTCTGCCCAGGCCCTTCGTCACATGGGACGCTAAGCTTTCAGAATGGCATCGATCCGTAGAGGCCGCATCCTAAACCCTCAATCCGACCTGTGCAACTCTACGAACAATCATCAACCCTAAACCCTAAACCCTGTAAAAAAACCTTAAACTTGAACCCTAAACCCCAAAGAGTAGCAAGATCCCGAATGCTGGCCTAAGAGGCCGAACACGAAGTTAAAAAGGGGTCCTAATTTAGAGAGCTGCCATTAGAGCACCCTTGTAGAAACCGTATAGAAACCCTTATAGATCCCTTTATAGAGCACCCTTGTAGAAACCGTATAGAAACCCTTATAGATCCCTTTAAAAACGGAACCCCGAACAGGGCATGGTGCAGCTGTACTATGACAAGTACATCGCCAAGCCGCTGAAGCTGCCAGCTGTCAGGTGCTTTTCCCGGGGGTTTCGTGATTCCGGGAACCTGAGTCTGTTATTTGTGTGTGCGTAGTAGTAGTAGTAGTAGTAGTAGTAGTAGTAGTAATAGTAGATGCTTTCGAGGGGACATGTGGGGTGGCGTGTGGTTCAGAGACTCCGCAGTGCCCTCTTCAGCATTCTTGGCGGAGGTTTCGGGACTTCGAAGCCTTAGGAAGCCTACTCCCATCCCTGGTTCAGGGTTTTGGGAACTCAGATCTCGGCTTTCTCGTCCTGCCTCTTATCATGTATGCAGTTTGTGTATGCATGCACATGCATGAAGTGAATGTATGTATAAGCACGTGGTCTCCATTTTCGTGTCCACAGTTTCCAGGGATGCTTTGAGGAACGCCTGGGAGTCCTGTCAATGTACGGGCCTCAATCTTTAGAATACTGTTTTGGGGTACATTATACTATAAGGAATCCCCACAATAGTGTAAGTATAATTGTTTAGGCCCCTATACTGGGGAACTCCGGGTTGCAGGTTACAACCTCCCCTCCACCTGAAGAAGGATGCTTGGTAAGAAGTTCTTACTACCCCTACACCCCGAGCCCTACAGACACTCAAATCCTTATGAGAGCCGGGAGTGTCTTTATCCGGCTCTCACAATGCCCCAGATCTTTTCTGGTCGCCCTCAACCATAATGCCAACCCAGACTGCCCAAAGAAAGACAAGATACCTCGAAACACACGATCCCTCTGCAATTTCACGGACCTTGCCCAGTGAAGACACCTAAACAACGCTGGAGAGACTATGTAAACACCCGACGCAAACTCTATTAAACACCTATTTGAGGCACGCTTGTAGAACCTTTCTAGACACCTTATAGAAACCTTCTAGTACAAACTCTAACCCCAAACCCTAAGCCCTAAAACCCAAAACCCTAAAACCCTGACCCCTAAGCCCCAAAAAAACCACCGTTAAAAAATAATAACTACTCATAGGACCATAAACCCTACAATTACCAACAAACCTCCAAACCCTAAACCCTAAACCCTAAACCCCTAAAACCCCTAAAACCCTAAAGCCCTAAAGCCCTAAACCCTAAACCCCAAACCCTAAACCCTCAGAAACCAGCCTTACGTGCCAGCTCGGGATCTCCAATGCTCCGGAAGCCGCCGGCGACTCAGTGAGGGAGGGCTCTCGGGTCGCGGGTTTTAGGCTTCAGGGTTTAGGGTTTGGGGGTTGAGGGTTTAGGGTTTAGGGTTTAGGGTTTAGGGTTTATGGTTTAGGGGTTTAGAGTTTAGGGTTTTGGGTTTAGGGTTTTAGGGTTTCGGGTTTAGGGTTTAGGGTAATAGGGTTTAGGGTTTTAGGGTTTAGGGTTTAGGGTTTTGGGTTTAGGGTTCAGGGTTCAGGTTCC